CCCTGCCCTCCCCTCCCCTCCCCCCCAAGCCTGTTCCTGGTTTCTGGTTCCAGAACTCCTGTTCTGGCAGCCCCCCTCAAGAACCCATCCCTGGCCTCACCTGCTCCTGCCTCCGCAGCTCCCTGAGCAGCCAGAGCCAGGGCTGGCGCTAAGCCTTACCATACCTTACCTTACCTGCCGGTCACCCCACCAGGAGGGGGTCACCCCACCAGGAGGGGGCACCGGGCTCAGCCTTCCCAGCGTCACCAGCAAGACCCCACTGGTCTGCCCCTCAGCTGGGGCGCTGTGTCCCCCGTGCAGGACAGGACTTGGGCTCCTCTCCTGCTTCCGCTGGGGGTGGGGGGGCACACCCAAAACTCCTCGTAAACGGCTAAACAGGGGTCTCACCGCGGCGGCCGAGCTCCAGGGGCGCTGGCGCCTCCAGAGTGAAGGCGGGGGAGGCCCCGGGCGGTAGACACAGGCCGGAGAAGGATGTTCGCGCTGTTTTTTCAGCGTTTACCGGCGACTATTTTTAAGTCAACTTAGGAAGTTTGGGGAGTGGGGGGATGGAGACACAGAAGTTGTTGTTGATTTCCTTCCGTTTTTATGAATCCCCTTGTCAAAGAAGAAACTGGGGCTGCTGCCAGCTCTGCCGGGAAGAGGGGGCTGGAGAGCGGGGACCCCCGGCTTCCTTGGCTGCCCCCCATCTCTTGGGCCACTTTCGTACCCTGTCCTGGTCTGAATGTCACGCTGCTTTTGTGGGCTCATTTCTCATCGCTGGATTTTCAGAATCTTGACAAAGTCTGGGTGGAGGGGCCCGACGCCCCAGCCAGGGGGTCTCCACCGTGACTGTTTGCCTGAGCCTGCTGCGCCCCGCATCTGTGGATGTTTCTCTCTGACTTGCTGCTCTTGGTCTCTCTCCAGTGGGATCTCGTGTGTGACAATGCCTGGAAGGTCCACATCGCTAAGTTCTCCTTACTGGTCGGATTAATCTTTGGCTACCTAATTACTGGATGCATTGCTGACTGGTGAGTACCTGCCTGCCCCCCTCGCCCCTTGGGGCGCTGTGGGGAGTTGCTAGCTGGAGAGGAGGGGCCTCCCGCTTCCCTTAGGCGGCCTGGTCTCTGCTGGGGGGTGGCGTGAGAGCCGGAAGCCCGAGTGGTCCCCAGAGCTAGGAGGACTAAGAAGGGGGGTTCCAACTCCCAGGGCGCCTGCTATCCACACATGCAGCGGGGG